TATGAAATGAAGGAAACTCGAAGGGAGGGCGATTGGAGCGCCGAAACAACTCGACCAATCTGCAAAAAGAGGCTAGGCCCAACCTTAACAGCCTAGTAACGAGCCCAACTCCAAGACGAATAACAAAAGCCCGAGGCCACCGAGAGCTAGGCAGAACCGCTATGGAGACTCGGAAGGCCAAAAGCGAGGAGATCCCTAAGAGATAGCTAGTAGAGTAGAGGAGGCCACAGAGCTAACCAACCAAGCAGGAGACTGAACCTAGCCCATAAGTAGAGACAATCGTAGGCGGATCAGAGCGACCAGATTTTTTTTTTTTTACAAAAACAAATAGAGTGAAACAAGCCGGAAAACCAGCAAGAATAGTAAATACAGGATGAGAAAAAATGGGAACAAGATCCCAAAACCAGAGCAAAATAGCTAGAGACTAAAGTTGTTCAAGGAAACTAACAAGTAGAGATTCCAAGAAAAACTCCACCATGAACTCGATCTAGTTAACTCGGAAGCATAGATAGAGGCATAGCAACACACAAAATATTAGCCGAAAGGCCAAAGTGAACAATAAAACATTTACAAAAACCAGCTATACACAAACATAAGAACACAAACCCCGGAGGAAGCAAGCAAGTAACCAAGGTTAAACAAGACCAAAAAGCAGGGAAGTAGGATAGCCCGAGCTAGACCTCCGAAATAACCCGAACGGACAACCCAAACCAAGTCTAATAGAATCAACTAGGCAAACACACGATGGAGAAGGCGGAACCATGGGCAACCTTGCCCACCACCGATGTAGCAACCCGTAAGGGGGCCAAACAAGGAGCCGACAGAGGAGAGCAAAATACCGTTGGGCTACCAAGAAAAGGCACATGGCCAAACTAGGGAAAGTAATGGACGGACCGAGGAGAGGCAAGACTTGGCCATAATTACTCGCAGGAGATGCCCGAATAGCATAAGATCGAGCCCGGTGAAGATACATAAAGCCAAATAAAACTCGCAACCGTAGCTAGGGTCAAGAGCGCCCATACGACCTATGAAGCCCGAACTAATAAGCTCGCTAAACTAGCCGAGACAGAATAGAACCCATAGATATGAGGAAGGACAGATGAGAATGGAGTAGCCAACCCAACCGAGGAACCAGCGAGGGCTAGCACAAATCAAGCCAAGTCGATAGAGAAGAAACACCGGTGAAGTTGCCGAGATTGTAAGACAAGAGCAGAGGAGAGCCGAGACAAGTAGGCTATGAGCGGATCGATATAACAAGTCTTCCAAAATAGGTCCGGATAGAGGCTAGACATCCGGGCAAAGCATCGAAAGGTAACCAACCGGAAATCCAAAGAATCGCAGATCGTTGGGGGGAGGGGCAAGGCTCGGCTCGAACTCCTAAAAGAGGACCCCGAAGATAGTAGTAGACCAAGCCGACCAATATTGGCCCAATTTGAGTAGCCCTCACAACAAAGTCAAAAACACAAACCGAGTCCAACAAACCCCGAGAACATTCCCACAAATATAATAAACAAAAGAAGGCATGTAAACACATCAAACGAACGACCAATGAGGCATTAGATTTACCTAGTATAAATGCGAAGGAGGTGATCTCGTCTCATGAAATTGGAAAACCATGTAGAACAAAATCTAAAATTGTCGAAAGGCTCTATCAATCAAGTTTGAGGAAGCTTCAAAGACTCTCCTATTTCTTTCTTCCCAAATAACATAGATTATGATGCCAAGGGCAACCCTTTGCATTCTTGCTTCAAGATTGTTACGACAAAAGGAAAGTCCTCGAATAGCATTGTTAAGTGTAGTCAAATCTCACTAGATGCGGAGCCGCTTCTTGACTCGTAACCTAAGTGGCCGTCGTCCAACTATAAGAGAAGAATAAATGGTGATGAGATTCATTAGCCCGATGATAGAAAGGACAAGTTAAACTGGCGAGGAAGGAATCGAAGCTCGGTCCTTAGTTTTTAAGACCCCCTTTAGCCGCTAGCCATAGAATGAAAGCATGTCTCATTAGAGACTAGGAATCCCATATCACTCTACTCCGAGTGACCGAATCACCCATGTGTTCGAGGTGAGAGTACGCCGCTCTGCAGAGGCTTCCTTCGACTAAATTCCACTAGGCTAGTTCTCCAAGTACTCGTATTTGTGTTCCTAAATTTCATAACTAGAATGTCTCTCAAATCAATTATGGCTTTCCACAGCGGTGAGGCATTACGATGAGCCGCTACATCCCACACCCGGCTATCTTGCAAATAATAGTGGTGGATCCAACGAACCTAAATGGAGTCACCTTTGAGATCGATATTCCGAAGCCTTTGGACCATGAAACTCGATTTCCAATTTTGATGTCGAAAAGGCCTAAATCGCCTTCTAGCTTAGGGAGACATAGACTTTTCCAAGCAACTAGAGCCGAGATGCTTTTATTAACATCGTCGAACCATAAAAAGTCATGACACATACCGGTGATACGAGCAATAACCATCGCAGTAGGGGAAATATAGCCGACCGTAATTGAACCATGTCGAAGAGGACGGATATGAGCAATTCTAGCCTACCCGCATAGGATAGATGTTTACCCATCCAGCTCTAAATTGCGGATTCAAGACTACGAAGTAAAGGAGAAAATTGGCTAGCAAGTAATTGATGTGGACTAAGAGAAACCCCCGTGTATTTAAATGGAAAGGAGCCTTCATCGAACCCCGTATCCTGGAGGATGAGATTTTTCGCATCACCTCTCACCCCTCAAAAGAAAATCAAAGATTTAGTCGCATTGATGGCTAGGTCGGTAGTGCGACCAAAGAGAGAGAGTTGATCGGTCGAATTTGAATTGAAGCGGTGTCCCCACGGTAGAGTAGTAAGACATCATCCATAAAAGTAAGGTGAGAGATGGCTTGAGCCTCACATTTAGGGTGGAAACGAAAATCTAATTTTTCTCGTTGCTTTCTTTATAAGCTAGGAGAAGTATTCCATGCAAACCACAAAAAGGTAAGGAGAAAGTGGATCTCCTTATCTAACCCTCGCTTTACCTAGGAAGAAGCCAAACAAGCCGTCGTTAATCGAAATGGAGTACAATGTCGATTCAATACATGAACAAATCCAACCCATAAATCTGTCCGGAAACCCAACTATAATAGAAGCTATTTAAGGAAACCTCATTGCACCTGAATCAAAGGCATTGCGAAAGTCAATCTTCATTAGGCAACGAGGAAAGGCTCTCTTTCAGCCATACATGCGAAGTAGTTCCCGAACCAAGCGGATATTATCGGACATTTTTCATCCCGCCAAGAAAGCATTCGGAAAGGGCTAACAATATCCAAAAGGGCTAAGGACAATCTGGAGGAGAGGACCTTAGAGATTACTTTATAAACGACATTACAACAAGCTATTGGTCGGTAGTCGGTAGGTAGAGTAGCATTGGCCAGCTTGGGAACTAGAGTTATGATTGAGTGGCCGACTCGTTGCAAAAGTTTCCCGGACCTAAAGAAATCCATAACTGCCGCACTGAAGTCATTCTCGATGATATCCCAAGCTTGCTTGAAAAAAGAGAAGAAAACCCATTAGGACCCGACGCTTTATCATTGTCTATACTAAACGGGGTTTTCTTGACGGTATCATCCGAAATCAAGGCAAGCAACATGGCATGGCCGTCCAATTATAAGGTAGGCCCGTTAGCAATTACACTTGGGTCTAAGGAGACCGTATCTTTAGCACTACCGAGTAGGCTTTAATAATAGGAGACAAACTCCTCACCAACTTCTTCAATAGAGGTAGTGAGCTACCCATTGTGCCTTGTAAGAGCTGCAATGTGATTGACCTTGCGCTTTTGATTCATTAGACCATGAAAGAAGCTCATTCCTTTATCATAATCTTTGAGGAACTTGCACTTTAGTTTCGGCCAAAGAACATTTTTTCGAAGCCTTGAGATTAGCCGGATTAAGCCGGAGATGCTTCTCAATCTCACATAGCCCATGGTTCTCCCCGTCATTGTGAAGCTCGGCTTGAAGAGCAACCAATTCGGATTCGACTCTAGCTACTCGTTGGATATGTGGCTGAAATGTAGTTTGTTCAAAAATTTCGTGGGAGCCTTCGTGGTTTTCAACTTCCGACAAAGGACATACATAGGTGTACCACTAATGTTAGCTGCCCAACCGTCTACAACTATTTTAAGAAAGTCCGAATGGCTAGCCCACATGTTAAAAAATTTGAAGCTTTGAGTACTAGATTGCATGTGAGAGCCTAAGGAAACCAAAATTGCAGAGTAGTCGAAAAAACCCCCAGGGGTTCAAAATGAACATGTGTAGGAATTCGGGAGGAGGTCCAAAGGGGGCTAACTAAAACTCTATCAATTTTTGTCCAAAGTTCCGCCCCGTGGCAAGTGAAATGATTTCTGTGTAGTTAAGGTCAAAAAGCCCCAAATCGGAATAGCAAGTTTAGAAATCAAAGGTCTCGTAGTTGGAGACGAGCAGTGCCATTGTGTTTATCGACTTGGGAGAGGATTGAGTTAAAATATCCCATAATAATCTAGGGATAGTGTGAGTGCCATTGACGAAGGTCTTCCCACGACCCTCTTCTTGAGATGATAGAATGCATCCTATATACAAAAGTTGCATGAAAAATAGTTTGTTGGATAAGGTCGATGATCCGAACATTAAAACCTTAAATAGATACATTTAACACATCAACCATAATTGTTTTGGGGTTCCAAAAAAAGCAATGCATGCATTACCCGCAACCATAGCATTAGAAGCAAATTTCCAAGTGTTTGAGCCTAAGTCCGTACATATTGGCAAGTTTTGCTAAGTCGAGCTTTGTTTCCACAAGGGCATAAATGTCTACCTTCTTTTTCTTCATGAGATGGACTGTCTCATGCTATTTCGAAGGGTTATTTAGCCCTCTAACATTCCAACTTAAAATGATCATAGTTGAGCAGAAGAGGCCGAGCCCCTTCGACCCCCACTTCGCCTCTGCGTAGCTCTCGGTGGCAACTCGCTTCCGTCACAATTTCCATGGAAACCTATGTGTCATGTCCGATTTGGGGTACCGTAGGTATGGCCCCTGGGAAACAAGAGGAGCATGGCATTCGTTTCCTTGTGGTTACCATCCCCTCGCTCGATGAGCCCTCGGCCTACTACCGGTTCCGCTATCCAAATCGTTCTCCGCACTCGACTGTCTCTCGCTTCCGTATAGAGAGATATTCATAAGCATACCCCGATCCGAACTTCCCCTAACTTCCCGATTTCGAAGACTGGTCGGCCCGACCTTTTGGTTACACGGTCCACTCTTGGCTCTTTTCGTCGCTGCCGACCATGTCTGGCCGAGGCTCAAGTGGCCCGAGTCGGTGTGTGGCTCCCGCCCCGAATTAGAATTGAGCGAGTGCGGTTTTCCCTTTATTAGCACCCCTTTATTAGTTTTTGTGTCTATGCACTATCTCCCATTCCTTGGATGTATCTCGCTACTTCAAGGAGCATAGGGTCGGTATACATTTGGGCTTCTATATGGCAAGCATTGGTAGAATCATCTACTTGTCGGAACACATTAGACTTGGCTTGTCCACCTTCCGTTTCATTACCATTTGTAGTGTCTTTAGTCAAATCCCGAGTAGTTTGATTTTTGCACGCTTGTGTGGAGTGGCCAAGAATACGGCATTTTTTACAATGTATTGGGAGAGACTCATACACTACTGGTTGTAAGAGGGTTTTGCCGTTTGGTAATACTATGGTGACAATCCGAGGCGAGTCTCCATAATAATCGGCTCTATCGGTACTCTAGCATAAGAGAGACGATCCATTAAGGCGGTCAATCTGTCACATTAGATTAGTTTGCCAAGCATACTTGCAATCTTTGACAAACAGAGAGATGACTAGCATTTTAGTGGCAAGTTGGGAAACTTGACCCAAACGAGGATAGTGGCCATTTCAAAGACTGGAGAAATCAAAGTATTCGGCCATTAGTCTCAAAATCAAAGCTCGCCCATAAATTAGATAGGGTCCTCCATTAAGCACCGAGACCTTTTCTTCTCCATATTGGAATTTATAGATTAACCATCTCGATTCATGAACTCGTTAGAGTAGCAAGCACATTTCAAAGTATCCTTAATGATTCCATTTAGTGCACGATAATCTAGGCTTCTACCCGCAACATAACCCACTTGGCAGGATTTCCGAACTCACATTTGGTGTCATCATTAAGCAAAATGCATTATTTCGATTGAGTGATAGCGAAAAAATCGAGACAATTTAGGACACAAGGCCGAGTTTTGATTACTTACAAACAATTCTCTCCACTTTCTAGCTAGAGGAGGATGAGATACGAACTGTCCTTGCTTTGGATGCTTAACACTCGGGAGCCCCTGTTTCCACTACTCGTTGTCTCCGGCAATGGGGACAAAGAAGGGGTGACTTCTACGAGCAAGTTTATGCCGGGGGCACGTGGAGAGTTAAAATGCGGAGAGCTTGGCGATATGGGTGGCTTCCCCGAATTCAAAATAGGCGAGTGTTGTCTTGAAGAAATGGGATTGAGGTCTGGTGCGGTCCTTCTAGATCGAATGGCCCACCTCCTCTTCACTAAACTCATCCTCATCCGAGCGAGTCCTCAACCTTAACAAATACATGACCAAAAGCCGGGGCTTGGGATTGGTCTAGGGCGATTTGGAGAGGATATCCCTTTTGCGATCTAGGGTTTCGGGCGATTGGGGAGAGAGGGGAGTGGATTCCTTCGGAGGATGGACCGATGAGGTCGGGGCTTCTAGGGCAATGATAGGGTAGTCGGAATTTTACCGTATATCAACCTTAGGAGTTGTGGTCGTGGATTTATGTTTCTTCTTAGCCATTAGAGAAAAGAAGCCGAATGTTGGGGAGAGAGAGAAATAGTGGGCGGAGAAAATTTTTCGATAAACTAAACAAAGAGGGACAAAAAAAATGGAACGGGAATAAGAAATTATACCATGGAAAATGGAAGCGAGTCGGATTAAAGCTTTCCAGATGAAAGCAAGGCGGATCTTGAGGGAAAGAGCTCCATGGAAGGAGGAGAGCGTCTCTCTCTTCTTTCTCACTCTAGGCTTTGCTTACTAAGAGCTCACTGAGAGCTCTTTCTTGATTCTATGGGTGGTGGTGCATGGTCGTTCTTAGTTGGTGGAGCGATTTATCCGGTTAATTACGTTAACGAACGAGACCTCGGCCTACTAACTAGCAATGTGGAGGTGACCCTTCGCGGTCGGCTTCTTAGAGGGACTATGGCCTTCCAAGAAGTTTGAGGCAATAACGGGTTTGTGATGCCCTTCAGAAGGGATGCATTTATTAGATAAAAGGTCGATGCGGGCTCTACTCGTTGCTCTAATGATTCATGATAACTCGACGGATAGCACGGCCATCATGCCGGCAATGCATCATTCAAATTTCCACCCTATCAACCTTCGATGGTAGGATAGAGGCCTACCATGGTGGTGGCGGGTGACGGAGAATTAGGGTTCGATTTCGGAGAGGGAGCCCGAGAAACGACTACCACATCCATGGAAGGCAGTAGCGGCACAAATTACCCAATCCCGACACGGGGAGGTAGTAACAATAAATAACAATACCGGCTCTTCGAGTCCGGTAATTGGAATGAGTACAATCTAAATCCCTTAACAAGGATCCATTGGAGGGCAAGTCCGGTGCCAGCAGCCATGGT